ATAAAAATACAGCACCCTCATCCAGCAGGAAGTTGTATGAGAAGCTATACCCAAATACCAAAAATATTTTTTAGGAATGTTTATTTTTATTTAAAGCAAGTTGATTATAAATACAATCTCTTTCTAAAGAAGAAAAGGGGATAGTACAGATACGATAGGATGAAAGGGTAGATTAATGAACCTACTTTTAAAGAGCAACAAGTTGTTTAGAAATGTTTTACATTGCTACTCTGGATTTTAGTTTATTGATACAAGATTAAACTTAATTTTTATTATATATATATATATATATATATATATATATATATATATATATATATATTTCTACTCCTGTTAGAGATATTATGTTTATGCAACTCATTGAGATTTTAATGGATAATTAAAAAAATACAGAATAATAATTACTCTTCTATGATAGTCAAACTGATAGTCATGTTAAGTTTTCTAGGTATACATAGATATAAATGAATGAGGCAGATAATCTTCAAACACTTCAAAGACCTATAGTATATGGCATTTAAAATGTTTTAAAAAATTAGACTTTTCTGGACAATGAGATGCATCTGCTCCTGGCAGCACCAAATATGTCAAGGAAGATGATGGGCATTGAAAACACTCTATATGGAGTTTATCTTCTTCTTGGCAAAACAGCCATTTGTACAAGAAACTGTTCTTGCCTGGACTGCTTGACAAAATGTTACATCAACTGGACATGCAGGACCCATAGAAAGGTGACCACTGAACTTTACAAGAAAAAAAATGGTCCTTTAGGTTCCTGCTTCACAGAGGAAACTGCCAGACATTCTATAGGACACAAAGAGAAGTGACTGAGAGATGCTAGGCCTGTAGGCTGAAGACAGATGCCCCAACTTTACAGAGGAACTTTGTATGACTGTCCAGGCTGCTAGCTGTCTCTATCTACTCTTGCAAGACTCCTGAAAGTTGCTTGTGTCCTTCTCCTGTTTCTCAGGTAATATTATATACTTCTGGAGTCTTTGATGTAGTTGAATACTAGATAGTTATAATTTCCTTAGTTTTGATAAAAGATAAGTTAGATATGAAACCTTAGATTCACAAATATATGATAGATAGGACATCTTTAATTTTGCCAAATACAAATAGACTAGATATTATAAATAGACTAGATATTGTAACTGTAATTCTTGCTTGATAGTTTTTTTGTTATATGTAATTTTACTATGTTAAAGTTAAAACCTTCCTTTATGAAAAAAAGGGAAGTGCTGTGAATATGGCACTGTATGCTGTGAATGTGTTGCTCTGATTGGTTAATAAATAAAATGCTGATTGGCCAGTAGCCAGGCAGGAAGTATAATCAGGATAAAAAGAGGAGGATTCTAGGAAGAGGAAGGCAGAGTCAGGAGTTGCCAGCAAGATACAGAGGAAGCAAGATGAGAACGCAAAACTGAGAAAAGGTACCAAGCCACATGGCTATACATAAATAAGAATTATGGGTTAATTTAAGTGTAAGTGCTAGTCAGTAGTTAGCCTGAGATAATGGCCAAACAGTTTTAATTAATATGTCTCTGTGTGTTTATTTGAGTCCAAGCAGCTGCAGGACTGGCAGGTGAGAAAGATTTGTCCTGACCATGGGCTAGGTGGGACATAGGAAAACTTCAGCTACATTTGTATAATCCCAAATTTGGAGCTGACCATCAGAATCTCACTGATTCACTAGTGGGTACACAAGAGTGGGTACACACAACTATGTATTGTGCTTCTCCCTCTCATATAATCTGTTAGTTGCTAATAAACCAGTGTAAGTGTTAGAGTTCCCTGAGCCCTTTCTGCCTCCATATCTGAGTATTAGGCAAGCACAACCTATGTGGACCTAGTGCTTCTTAGTCTATTAAGACTGCTATAACAGAATACCATGAAAGAGGTAACATATAAGCAGTTTACTTCTTGTGGCTCTAGAGTGTGAACAGTTCATGATCAAGGTTCTTAATGAATAGGCATAGCATAAGGTTTCATTTTATAAGATTTTTTTTTCTTTGAAGACAGGCATTTTCTTGTTTAATACTACATGTTAAAAATCCCAAGGAGTCTCTATGGGAATTATTTATGAGCACTCACACCATTTTATAATATCTTCAGTAATATCAACTCTATCTAAATCATTGCTCCAATTCTGCCATCTTATAAATTAGGATTTTATCATAGGAATTTTGAAACTGTGCAAATTTAATACATGTAATTTCTGTACTTATCTGTGGTTTTGATACTAGCTTTGTTGTCTTTGTTCACTTCTGGTACCAATGCAAAATGGTGCATATACTATGAAAAGAATTGGAGGAGACTGCAAAATAAAATTAGAAGCATCTAATGATCTCACACTCTTGCCTGTAAATATGTTTGCCAAATGATTAAAAACAACTTTTCAAAGAGATATCTATATACCTCTTTTCATTGCAATACTATTTGAAGTACCTAAGGGCTAGAATCACAGAAAATGCCCATTGATTAATACTATTTTCCTTAACCTATGAATAGATTTGTTTAGCATAGTAGTCTGAGTTGGCCCTTCTGGCATTAGTCTTGTTTGAGTAATATGGTGTTATTGTGATTGGCCTGCCTTAATATGTGTGTTGGTGTTTTCTTTCTTGTTACTTTCAAAATACTTTTTTGGTCTATATTTTAAGTGTTTTAGTTATTATACATTGAGTGGAAGTTCTTGTTGGTTTGTCTTATTATGCCTCCTGTGTTTAGATAGACATTTCTTTTCCTAAATCTGGGAAATTTTGATAATATTCTTTTGAAAATATTTTCTATGCCATTAGCATAAGATATTTTGTCTACACCAATAAGCTGTGAACTTATTTTTATTTATTTTTAGAGACTCCTGTATTTTTAATGTTGCCTTATTATTATTTTTTGTCCTTGCCATATTATATCATTTTTTGCCCTGTCTTTTAAACACAAACATTCTGTTCATTCTTGATCCATTCTACTGTTGAGACACTCTAGCAGTGGTTCTCAACCTTCCTAATGTTGTAAGCCTTCAATACAATTCTTCATGTTGTGGTGACCCTCAACCATTAAATTATTTTCACTGTTATTTATTTCATAACTGTAATTTTGCTACTATGGTAATGTAAATATCTTATATTCAGGATATCTGATATGGGACCCCTGTGAAATAAAATGTATAGATTCTATTTGCCTCAAGGGTATTTTCTTAGTTTTAAAATTTTATGCTTTCACCATCTGTTTTACTATGAGGTTCTGTTAATATTAAAGAAGGAATATATAGTTATGAATGAATATGAGCATTTACACCCTCTGTATTGGTTACTTTTCATGTTGCTATTGGTCAATAGCTGATGAAAGCAACTTAGGGAAAGGAAATTTAGTTTTGTTCGTGGTTTGATGATATAATCCATCATGTTTAGGAAAGTATGACAATAAAAACATAGAAGAATTGGTCATATGGTATCCTCAGTGAGGAAGTAGAGAAAGATGGTGGTACTCAACTAGATTTCTTGTATTATTCAGTCAAGGACTCCAGCCAATAGAATAGTGCTTCCCAAATTCAGGGTGAGTCTTCCCTCCTCAGGTAAAAGTTATACACTCATCAGAGTTGTGACTCTACAGTGGCACAAATTTGACAATGATGATTAACTAATATTCTCCCTTCACATTCTAATTAATTAATAAAATATTTAGAGTATATATATATATATATATATATATATATATATATATATATATATGAACTCAAGTGCAGCACATGTATGCAGGTCTCTGTGTAGGTTAAAAAAAAGATGTTGGATTCTCTTAAACAGGAGTTATAGGCAGTTGTGAGCTACCTAATATGGGTTCTAAGAATTGAACTTGAGTCCTCTCAAAGAGCAGAATGTACATGTAACCACTGAGCCATCTCTTCAGCCTTTTGGCATTTTAAATTAATTTTTTTATAAAGTATTAATGTTCAAAAATGTTTGAATTACATAAAGTGTTTTCTATACCATGAATAACCATGTTATGTTGGTTGTCATTGAGATAACTAGATGCAGTGTTGTAATAGTTATCCTACCCCTATAAGTAAGGATCAAGACCATATTTCTTTATATTTTCATGTTATTACTTTTCCAAACCGATCATCTTGTTATTTTACTGATTTTCAATAGTGAATAAGACCTCTTTAGATTTGTAGAAGAGAATAAATACTTGAAACTGAAAGAAAATTTTGGACTTCACACAAAACGTGTTGTTACTGTTGTAAATATGAATGAGGTAAGTTCATTATAAAATCATCTTGCTACTAGAAATCATTTACTAAATGTGTTGATTAAATATATTACTTGACAATACTATAAAAAGTTTCTCACTTTTCTCACATCATATATAATTAGTGTATATTTGCTGAATTAACTGGATTATAAACCTATTTTTAAATGTTTCATTGTAAGCAAATTACAAATTTTTAATTTCTTACAAACCACACTAGGAGTTTCACTGCATGTACTAAGGATTTTGGGAGATAAAAGTAATCCTTTTTATTTCAAACACTTCCTTCCCACTAGCCCCATTATCACAAAGACAAAGTGAAATGTGTTTGAGGTGAAAAGAATAGCATATCTTGGCAATGTAGCTTAAGTCAATTTCCTACTCATTCACCATCTAAATGAACCAAGTACAATGTGTTACAAAATGTGTTGTGCTACTTTATTACTTTGTGATATCCTACACAGGAAATTGTCTATAATTGGTACTCACTGTCAAATCCAGTTTCCAGCTGTGAAGTTGGATCCCACCCATTCATTTGAATGTGGATAATTTTTTATCGTCTGTTGTTTGGGGAACATAAAAATCTCATGAAAATCCTTTTTGCATCTCCATTTCCTTGCACTATGAGCATTTAAAAATAAACAGATAGATAAAGAAAGGAACGTTGTTGAATTATCATTACATAAATGTAAGACAAAAAATAAAATTAGCATTATTTTAGGGTTTATTGTACAAAATATACGGTATGCTTTGTTAATGATCTATCTGCTTTATCTGCTTTATATTTTTATAAAAATATTAATACCTAGCTAATGATTTACATTCTTTGTGTATTTCTGATATACAGCATTTTATGCAATTCCCAAAATAACTATTCCAATTATTGTTCACTTAGTCTTTTGTCCTTGATTAGCCCTTCACTGTCAGTCGCATATGTAGACAAAAGTGAAGCAGTCATGAATGAATTCCAATTATTATACTGTTCACCTACTGTCTTTCTTAAAAGTGTTCACTCCTTTTTCATCTGTTTTCACTTTCATAATCTTTGTGTATTCTCTTCAAGGGTGAAATTCAAAGTTTACAATTAGGGTCACTCAAATAGCTTCTTCCATAACTGAGGTCTATAAACCCTTTGAATTTGATTTTAAATTTCCAATTATTTATAACAACTGCTTGGCTTCCCATGTTTCCTCAGTCTTCTGAAGGGCAGTATTCACTGGAATCATCCCATTTACCAGAATCAGTGATGATTCTCTAGGACTGAACCATGGCCAGCAGTAAAGGCACAGCACCACCTAGCGACTAAAACAAGCCATTAAGAAAAGAAGGGCCTAGTGATAGTCTAGCAGAATGAAGCTGTGGAAGTGAGGACAAGATATCAGTTGATATTTGACAATATAGACAATAGCAATATACTAGGACTACATTTTGACAAGGAGTCCTAGTGACATAGAGGGCACACATTGAACTGCCTGAACTAAAGGTTATAGTAAAAATGGTAGTATAAAAAAATCTTCATTCCAAAAGCAACTTAACATGCAGTAAACAAAAGAAAACAATCAATAAAAGGAAATTTGATTTTTAAAAGGTAAATCAATAATAATGAACCATAATTTACACAATAAAAATTGAAGCACTTAGCAATAAATACAATAATTACTATGAATTTTATAGAAATAAGAAAAATTATAAGTGAACATTGTTCAAAATTAAGTCAACAAAATAAATGCTGGACACATTAGATAAAATAAAAGCAATGCACCAATCACCAAAATAGATTTAGCAAGAAACAGAAGGTTTACAAGACATGTCAAAAAGTGCCAGTAACTCAAGACATAAGGACTAAGACAGGAACAATGTCAGTATTGAAATAAGCCTAATGCATACAGTGTGTTCCAGGGCAGCTTGGGAACATGACTAGATATTAAGAATCTTTCTCAAAAAAAAGCAATACAAAAGACAACAAAGAAAATTTTATTATGCTTGTAATACATAAAGAGACTTAAAATAAAAAAATCTTGTATTTCTAAAACACCAGTTTACTGTTGTTTATCCACTGCCTCTGGCTCTCATAACCTCTTTGTTTCCTCTTCCATGGTGTTCCTTGAGTCTTGGGAAAACTGGATGCTATATAGATGATCTGTCTAAGGTTGGACACATATGAACTCACAGTAGTTCTGATAGCATGCGTGAAATCTAAGCAAAACCAAGCCAGCCAAATTACAACACAGAGAGAGAACAGGTTCAAAAAGTCCCACCTTGGGTAAAGGATGCATTAGCAATAGATAACTATACATACTGGCAACACTAAGTGGATTCAGTCGGTTTAAAAAAAGAATACAAGAAATTTTGAGGAAATAATCATGGGCAGAAAGGGGAAGAAACAAAGGAGAAGAAATGAGCTTTGGCTGTGATGAAATGCATGAAATCCTCAAACAATAAAATACAAAAGTATTGTCTACAAATCAAAGATTTAAACAAAATTATTCATTTTTATTTTAACAAAGAAACATATATAGAGAGTAGTACACAGTCATGACTGTCTCATGAAAATTTTACTTTAAACACAGTTGTGAGGAGCATAGAAAGAGTAGAATAAGTTCAATGATTGTGTAGAGCTTTTATTTATTGTATTTTTATGGCAAAAACGAGTGCATAATTGACTTTCAAATTATTTTGATTTTGATGTTATGTTATATTACTGATGTTTATTACTGATGTTCTGACAAGACATACAGTCAGAATCAAGGTTTTGTAATCCCCTTCATTGTTTATATCTTCCTTTGTCTCTTGGTCATCCCTTTCATTTTCTCTCACTTTCTCTTTTCATCATTCTATTGTTGAAGTTCTCATTAAGAAAAGAGTAAGCTGCCATATTGTGTGTAACTCCATAGAAAATCCTACTTGGTCAGGAAAGAAAGATGTTTGTAAGGAGGAAGAGGTTGATGGAGTGAAAGGTATATGAGACAGTGGAGGTGAGAATAATTGCAGTGCAGTATATATATGTGTAAAATTGTCAAAGAACCAATTTAATAAAAATTATAGGATACATCTTAACATCTTAAGAATTTAATAATATGATATGAATGAACTTAGGTTAAATTCTGAAGGTATTTCATTTTAGAAAAATTATATACTTGTTAGACTTTTAGAAAACATAAATACCACAAGATTATCTAAAATACTTTCATTTTATCTATAAGGACATATTTACTAGTAATACAATTTAAGTGAAACCCTTTTAATTCAAATTTATGTTATATATTATAGTAAATTTAAGCTATCATTAGTGATTTTAATTTCTCATTATAGAAATCGCTAGGTTACAGTCATATTTATAATTATCAATGGAGCACAAGCAATAATTATGGGAAAAGTTCACCAATCATGAAGCTCTTTATCTTAATGTTTCTGCAGAACTTGCCAATGCAGTGTATTCACACATTAAGCAGTATTTAACTGTCCAAGAAAATCATTCTTATATTTTCTAGAAGTGTAGATTCATTAGATTTATGCTATTATTATATATATATATATGTCTAACAATCTTTACACAATAGAAATTTGAAATGATTTAACAACAATCTCCCTCAATTGTACTCCCCCACCACTGTTATTTGTTGAAAGCTAAAGGGAAATGCCATCATCTGAAAGTACTGACTCTGTCCTTCCATTAATCAAACAACTTTACAGATAGTAAACTTAAAATGCTCGCTTAATTATTATTGGCTTATGCATGAATCAGCAGATATATTTTGAGAACCTATTTTATGCCAGGTAATAGATTAGCTACTGGACATCAAAAAAGGAAGTAGGACAACTTGACCTCTGACTTCCTAGTGCCTATATAATAATAAATAAGGGTGCCAAATGATAAGGCAAATAGTAAACAATATTGATATTCTTCATAAAACATAATCCAGAGGAACAAAGCAGGTGAACCTGCTTGATGGCTCTCATTTTTTTCCAAGCTTGTCTTCCTCTGAAGACATTAATACAGGTTATTTCTTAGCTGTGTGTAAAGTAAATATAAATCAAATAAAAAATTCAAATTAATGTAAGGTTGATTTGTACATGCAAACATCCTTATAGTGACATTAAGGAATATATTGAGGTATTCAAAATGTGTAGTCCCTCTACTAATCTCATTGCCATAATAATATTGTATATTTTCAATAGTTAACTCCCTTTGTTACAAGAACAAAAAATTAGAAATTATTTATCTAGTTACTTTTACTGGATCTTTCTCTACTTTGATTTTATCTCCAATGTTTCCTGAGTGCAGTTTACTGTCATTAATAGGAGAAAAATACTTGCATCAGATGTCCTGATCCTCTGTCTATTACTATCTTTCCTTCCTTTTTTTCTGTGATACTCTGCTTGCTTTATGTGTAAGGGTTATACTAAAGATGTAACAATTGGGGCTGGGAATTGGAGAGTCAGTTTTTCTCTGTATTTTGAGTAGCTGTGGCATTATGTTGTGGTCTCCCTCTATTGTGTAAAGAAGTTGATATGATGAGGAGAGCTACACCATTCTAAGAATATAAGGATTGTTATTTAGAAAGTAATTGGGTGTTCTACTGGATTATGAAAGTAGCAGTAGTAGGTTCTCATTCACCAAAGGCAGTTCTGTTATTTTATGCTGTTATATGATACTATTACTGGGGAGACATGAACAGAAATTGACAACAGACCAAAATACGCATACTGTCAGAGTTCACCTTGGAAAATCAATTAGTTTTATAGGGATTATTTATAGGAATATGTGTGAAGGATTATTTTCAGTAGCAGAAATTATTCAAAGTCCACTAGATGCATCACCAAAGCCTATCCCAGCATGGGTGACAGATCACAAAAGTTAAAAATCTGGACCACACCATCCATACTACAGGCAGCTTGTCAGGTCAAAGAGTATCCTTTCAAGTGGCTTAGTTGGTATGAACCTGTTCTAGTCAGCTTGGCCAGTTTTCAATTATTTGATGTTTCCTGCTTCTTTTGGGCTGCTTGTTTTGACTTTCATTCTTCCAGGCTTGTCTGGTCTCATTACCCTAGACTGCTTGGCTAATGTCTGTTTCTTTCTTCTCAGTCTTAGCTCCTTCCAAGCATAATTTCTTCTTTTAGTACATCATAATGAGCATCGAGATCCACAACTGAACAATGTTCACATAGTGAAAGACATTGGAACATTTTGACCTAAATGGGATGTCTGTATCATACCCCTTCACTCAAGGACCAGGTATCTTTGTGGAATAAGAGGATGAGAGACAGTAAGAGCCAGAGGTGGTGGATAACTCCAAGGAAAAAAACATTCTCAAAATACAGCGTGGTAGCTGCACAATTTTGTGGGAAAAAAAACAAAACTCTTGTACACTGGTTTAATAAAACACTGATTGGCCAGTAGGCAGGCAGGAAGTACAGGAAGGGCGAGCAAACTAAAAGAATTCTGGGAAGGAGAAAGGTAGAGCTGAGGAGATGCTGCTATCTGCAGCCAGGAGAAGGAAGATGTAAAATACCTGTAAGCCACAAGCCATGTGGCAAAGTATAGATTTCTAGAAATGGGTTAATTTAAGATGTAATAGTTAGCTAGTGAGAAGCCTGAACCATTAGGCTATATAGTTTGAAAATAATATAAGCCTCTGTGTGTTTACTTGGGGGCTTGAGTGGGAGAGATTTGTCCTGATTGCCGGCCAGCTGGCCAGGACACAGGAAAACTTCCAGCTACAGCACATGTGAATTCATAGTTGATGTGACAGAATGCTGTCAATTTTAGCTGATAAAAGAGTGACTTTCAACAGTCTTTATTATTTATATATTCTTGGGGAAGAAGAGCCCTATTTAATGTAGTCAGTTTCAGGGGCTGGCTTCTCGAAGCTATTTTGAATTGTTTACTCCTTTTCATCAAGCTTTCCTAAAGGAAATAATGTTTCAATCTTGAATGACATATGTTTTGTATATCTGTATTGATTTTTCTTTCATTTATTTATTCTTACCTAATTATTTACTCATTACTGTCCTTAGTTTGAACTTTGGACATTGCACAATTGGTTCTACCATTGAGCTAAGTCTCCATTTCTTCTCGTTTATTTTGAGACAGTGTCTCACTATGTCTAGAAGCTAGCCTTGAACTCAGTTTGTAGTCCGTATTGGCTTTCAAATAATTGCCTTGGCCTTCCAAATAGCTACAAGGCTGTAGTCTTCATTTTTCTTATATTTTTATTTTTCCTATAGTTTACTGACTTTAAAGATGATTACTTTGAATTTTGTCAAGAAATTTTATTTATAGATCTCTACTTGTTTAATGCTCATAACTGAATTTTTCATTCCTTTGGTACTTTTATTTTCCCTGATTTTTCATGTTCCTTGTGGCATTGCATTAGAATATATACAGCTGCAGAAAGCATATTCTCTTCCATTTTTGTTTTTTATTTAAGATAGGATTTCTCTGTGTAACCTTGGCACTCCTGGAACTTACTCTGTAAACTAGCCTGACCTCAAAGTCAGAGATCTGCTTAGATCTGCTGACCTCTGCCTCCCAAGCACTAGGATTAAATGTGTGTGTAATCACCACCCTTTTCTCTTTCAGTCTTTTAAAAGTGTTTATATAGTGAAACATTTTCACAGTTCTGTTCAATTACATACTGTTGGAGTTTGTAAAAAAAAATTATTTGTGTGTACACTGCCTTGTTCTTCATCCCTCCTGATAAACAAATTCCAAGTTATGTGCTTTCTCTTCCCAATCACACAGAGCTATAGACTTCCCACCCCTTCACTTTACAATAATGTAAACACTGTAATCCGCAAGGCTACTTCTTGGCCTCCCTCCTAAAATGCAAGAACTATCTGATTTCTGGCCATCTGTATGAGTTGCATCAGTTGCTTACTCTCACACACTTCTTTTTCTTGTGGGAGTGCACTAGAGTGCTAGATGCTAGACTCAAGTTTTTCTTTCTCTCTGAAAGAGAAACCACAAGATTACTCAATAGTTTTCAATCTTGAAAAGCCCTGCTGACTGAGGAATGCCACCATTCCCTTTCTTTGTTCTTAGCTGTTCACATAGTTTCATGTTATTTGCTTTAGTTCTCCAAATATGGTGAGAAAAGTAAGTTGCCACAGCAGTGCTCAAAAAGCTTGGGTGGTCAGATTCATGCTCTATATACTCTTTCTACTAAGGGAGAAATATGGTTAGTGGAATTTGATAGATTTAACAGTACCAGATTTCAAAATAGTTAATATGAATAAAATGAAATTGATCTTCTTACCCATTTCAAAAGTGTTTATTTTAGTTTTTTATTCATCTAAGCTGTGGTAACCAATCTGTTTTGCAGAGTTTACATAAAAGTAATTAGGGAAATATACACCCTCCAGTAAGAAAAGACTGAAAATTTTCTGTTTCTAAGAACACTTTTTATTTAAAATTTTCTATCAAAATTTTTAAAATTTATGATTATTTTTAAAATTTTGTGCATGGATAGATTCTGTTGTAATCCTATTCACCACCCCATTACTGTCTCTTATCATTTGCACACCATTTTTACTAACTTATTTCTAACTAGTTAACTCATACCCTTAATTTTTTTAAGTTTCAATGCAATTCTTGTTAGAACTTGAGTGCCATACCATATCCAGAAGACAGTGTGTTTGTTGTAGTGCACTTTTCTATCCTCTGAATTTTCCAGTTATTCTATCTGCCCTTCTATATTATTCTGTAAGTGTTAGACAGGTTGATACAGATATCCTATTTAAGACTGAGCACTTAACAGTCATTAATTCTCAGAATTTTGACCATTTATAAGTCTGAATTAAAAAGGTGCAAGCTGCAGAAAAATCATTTTATGATCCAGACTGAGAAATTCACTAATATACATATATAAACATAAATAAACAGGGAGTGGTTTAGTTGCTTTTTCTATTTTGGAAAACACCAGTCATGTATTCTCCTCTAAGTCATGTCTCTAGACGTGGAGTTTTGAAAAAATTTGCACTGCCAGGAATTCTCTTTGATGGAGTAGTCCTTAAATCCCACTGGAATGTTGTGCTGCCACTATTGCACAACTAAACACATATTCCCTAGAAGGATTGAGCGTAACATTCTGGGTGCAGAAACCTTTTAATTCAATTGATATTGTCCTATTCTAGGAATTGACTCAAGATCTTCTGACATGAAAGCTAGTCGATAGGTAAGCTTCCAAGTTAGCTCCAGGTTTAATTTTCTGGGTTATGCATTCAATGTATGAAGTGTTTTCAGCTACTATTTCACTCTGGTGGGCAACGAAGAGCTATGACAATAACCTATATTTTGTAAGGAACCTCTGGTAACTCCCTAGACAATAAGCATAAGCACATATTCTGTACCTTGCCCTGGGATTTTCCTTTTAAAATTACATATTTTAGCAATGTTACAAACCTGTGTATGGAAACCTCCATTCAAACTCATTTTATTATATGTTTTATTTTATATAGTAGTAGGATTCAACATGTTTTTTCTACACAACTTTAGTTTAGGCTGAACTTTTTCTCAAGTTCCACCTTTCTCCTAACTTTGAACCACATTCCTACTTAAACTTTTCACACCCAGTATTCTTTCCTCTTCTTATACATCTTTTTTTTTTTTTTGGTTTTGTTCCTCGTTACCTAAAAGCATTCTCCTCTCATGTATCATGACCCTTTTCTTGCTTCTTGACTTCTTCAATCACTCAAACTATTCAATCATCTTGCTCTAATAACAATTTTTAAATTTCTAGTTTCATGTTTAAATACAGATAGTGTCAAAGGTTTAATAACTTAATGATGATTATCTTCTATTTATTTATTTTTCTATTATTAGCTTGATAACATATAAATTCTTATCCTAATAGTGAAATGTTTCATTGAGGTTTGCCCAGTAATTGAGTAAAACCAAAACTTATTATAAGCCACAGTCATCCTAGGGTCCCCCCTGCTATATAGCCTCCCTAGTTCTGTAGGTTGTAGTCTGATTGTTCTTTGCTTTATATCTAGTGTCCACTTATGAGTGAATACATACCATGTTTGTCCTTCTGGATTTGGGTTACCTCATTCAGGATGATATTTTCTAGTTTTATCCATTTGCCTGCAAATTTCATGCTGTCATTTTTTTCTCTGCTGAGTACTCCATTGAGTATATGCACCACATTTTCTTAATCCACTTTTCAGTTGACAGGCATCTAGGTTGTTTCCAGGTTCTGGCTGTAGATGTAACCAACCATCTTATTAAATAAGAAACAGCCAAGAGGTCAGAGCTAAGAGCTAAAAACCTTACCCTTACTCTCGCGGTGGTCCTACCTCTCCAAAAGAGATCTACTTCCTGTGTGTCTATCTTTATAAAGACTTTCTGTTCTGCCTTCTCATTGGTTGTAAACCTAACCACATGACCTCCTAGTCACTGCCTGTCTGTACAGACCTCCAGGTCTTCTATGGTTGGTATTGAGATTAAAGGCATGTGTCTCCAATGCTGGATGTATCCTTGAACACACAGAGATCTACCTAGCTCTGCCTACCAAGTGCTGAGATTAAAGGCATGCACCACCAACGCCCAGCTTTCGCTATGGCTTGCTAATAGCTCTGACCCCCAGGCAACTTTATTTATTAACATACAAAAAAATCACATTTAAGTACAAATAAAATATCACCATATCTGGCTATGACAAATAGTGCTGCTATGAACATAGTTGAGTATGTATCTTTGTGGTATGACTGAGCATTCTTTTGGTATATGCCCAAGAGTGGTATGGCTGGGTTTTGAGGTAATTTTCAGAGAAACCGCCATAGTGATTTCCACAGTGGTTTTACAAGTTTGCAAACTCACCCAAGAAAATAGATGCCAGGAAACAATCAAATTGAGGGCTGAAATCAATGAAATAGAAACCAAAAGAACAATACAAAAAAAATCAATGAAACAAAGAATTGGTTCTTTGAAAAAGAACAACAAGATAGACAAACCCCTAGCCAAATTAACCAAAAGGCAAAGAGAGAGTACCCAAATTAACAAAATCAGAAATAAAAAGGGAGACATAACCACAGACAATGAGGAAATCCAGAGAATCATCAGGTCATACTTCAAAAACCTATACTCCACAAAATTGGAAAATCTGGAAGAAATGGACAATTTTCTGGATAGATACCACATACCAAAGTTAAATCAAGACCAGATAAACTATTTAAATAGACCAATAACCCCTAAAGAAATAGAAACAGTCATCAAAAGTCTCTCAACCAAAAATTCCCAGGACCAGATGGTTTCAGGGCAGAATTCTACCAGCTCTTCAAAGAAGAGTTAATACCTTAGAACAAAAAGTCAAGTCCTATGGTGTTGAATGGGGTCAGAGAGTTGAACCTTGTTATGTCCATCTGGCCCTTCGGTCCTCTACAGGCCACATCCTGGATGTGCTGGGAATGGCGTGTGGTTACTCCACACTCCAGGGAAAACACCTGCAAAGGCTGCTATGTCACTACACTGCTTTCAAGATTGAATTTGGTCACAAGACTTTAACCATTCCTCACAATGTTTTAGGAGTTAATAAACAATGTTAGGTAACAGCATTACACACGGGCCACCCCTTGACCACAAAGATGATGCACCTGCCCTGGGATAGCAGGGCAAATGATGGCATCCAAATGCTGTCTGCTTCAGAAGCAGCTGTAGATTGAACTATTTATGGGTGATGGACTTCAGGGGTGTGGGCTGCATTCTTCTGCTTAGTCCCCTTGTGGCCAGCATGAAATTCCTGTCCATGTTTCGCTGTAAGGCCAGCGAAGTGAATGATCTTTAGGTTTCTTCTTGTGTAGATGGAACCCTTTTGTCCATGGAGCCAAGTGAAGTGCACTTTGTCACATGTAAGGATCTGCTTTGTTCCTTGTTGCTTTTCTCTTTTCAAACCTTTCGTTCTACCTTTCCATTGTGTTTCTTGTCAAATGCATAAATGTCTGTTCTACAGCTCATTGAAGTTTTGAATTCTGGCTTGTGCAGTTTTTATTGTCTGTGTCAGACATACAGCCAGACATAGTCCTCTTTCAGCATTTTCCACATTCTGTTAAGCACCATCAAAACTCCCCCTCCCTTTCTGTCCTCTATTCCCTACTCCCACTCACTCCTCACGCTCTTCAAGAAAAAAAAAGAATCACCTTGTGTGTTGTAGCTCATTTGTTTCAAGAGAGAATCAACAGATCATATTCTGTGTCTTGAATAAATTGCTCTATTTTGATATTAAAAAAAGAAGAGTTAATACCAATACTCTTCAAATTGTTCCATACAATAGAAACAGAGGGAAAGTTACCAAACTCTTTTTATGAGGCCACAATTACCCTGATACCCAAACAACACAAAGATGCAACAAAGAAAGAGAATTACACACCAATTTCTCTCATGAACATTGATGTAAAATATTGGTAAACCAAATCCAAGAACACATTAAAATTTATCCACCATGACAATGTAGGTCTTATCCCAGGGATGCAAGCTTCAACATATGAAAATATGTCAAAGATTATCTTACATTATTTTTATTATTATTTATTTATTTTACATCCCAACCACAGTTTCCCCTCTCTCCTCTCCTCCCAATCCTGCTCCCAACCTCCTCTCTGCCCCCCATTCACTCCTGTATTTCTATTCAGAAAAGGGTAAGTCTCCCATGGATATTGACAAAACATAGCATATCAAATTGTAGGACCATTGGGCGGGCAACTCAGTATGAGGTATAAGGTCCCAAAAGCCAACAAAAGAGTCAGAGACATTCTATGCTCCCACTGTTAGGAGTCCCACAAGAAGACCAAGCTAGATAACTGTCACATATATTCAGAGGGCCTAGTCAGTCCCATGCAGCCTCCCTGGTTGTCAGTTTAGTCTCTATAAGGCCAGGTGGGTTCTCTTGTGATGTCCTTGACCCCTCTGTCTCCTATAATACTTCTTCCTTTTCTTCAGTAGGATTGTCTAAGTTCAGCCTAATGTTTGACTGTGGGTTTCTACATCAGCTTCCACCAGTTGCCGAATGAAGCCTCTATAATGACTATTGGACTAGGCACCAATCTATAAGTATAGCAGAAAATCATTAGTAATCATTATAATATTGACATTTTTCATCCAGTCATGTATGGTTCTGTCCTAAGTCTCTGGGATATCCAGCCTCTGGGTCCTTGTGCTCCAGACAGTGTCAGGGGTGGGCTCACTCTTGGGGCATGGGTCTCAGGTGGGATCACTTAATAATGATTCTCTCAAGAATGAGAAGTCTTTGCCCTGGAGGAGGTGGGAATTGGGGGTGGGCTGGAGGGAAGGAAAAGGGGGGCAGGAGGGGGGATAACAAGGGAATCCGTGGCTTATATGTAGAACTGAATGGTATTGTAAAATAAAATAAAAGGAAAAAAAAAGAAAATATATATATATACAAAAAAAGAATGAGAAGTCTGTTGATACTATCAATACAACAATATTTACAAAAAAATTTGTTATTGTCTTAATTTTCCAAAATACCTGTGAATCTCACTAACTTATAAATACCAAGGACTGAACAGTTTGTAAGCTACATGATTGCACATCATACATACTATTTTGATATTTATTAATCATACGAGAAATGAAACATAAATTTTAGTTTCTGAACAAACAGTAGAGTTGTGGCTACACCAGGAGATAATTTAGCCATAAGAGCTTTGTTAGATTTTCTCTTTACAACTATATGTGTGTCACCAGTCTGATCATATAGTTCATTTATACTTTTGTATCAGATTTGAGATGGATAATAGAGGGTTTGGAAGTAAATGCAACTATGAAGCAGGAATGCCATACTATGAAATTAAGATAACTATATGTGGCAGAATATGAGTTATCAACAGTAATATATGTGTCCCTGGATATGAGCATATAATGATATTTACTTGTGTATGTGTAGAATATGGTTGGAAGAGGCATGGGGAGAGGTTGTGCAATGGAAACTAAGGTCCAGTTAGAAATAAGTAACCCTGCATACTGTTATTTAAGTTTCATTTCTGACATATTAGATTAGACTGTGAGAGTAAAATAAAAATCAGTGTATGACACTTTGACCCATAAGTATGTGATGTCCTAAGGAAACATCAAAACCTCTAACCAGTAAAATACTAGTCATATACCACCATCAAATTTACACAGACAGGAAAAATGACTCCTACATAATTATATAAGATAAAAAACTAAATATAATCGTGAACAAAAATAACATTTACCAAGAAAATATAAGTTAGTAATTTTACATAAAGATCTTGAATAAAATAACATAAGCTTTCAGAAAGAAAAATATAGAACAAGAAATTGAAACAAAATATGAAAATGTATGAAGGATTAAAGGTTAAATAGGTGAGCTATTTTAATGGTAGAAAAATAGGCAAAATTATTACTCCTCATAAATTGAATACTAAAATTTTTTTTTACTTATTCTTTGAAAATTTCATACAATGTATTTTGGTCGTATTTGTCTCTACCCTCACATCTCTAAGATTCTCTTCCACATTTTCAAGAAATGTAATTGGTAGTGATGATGAATTTAAGTCTTAGTAACTGCAAATATCAGATACATTTAAATTCAACATGTCCTTAGGTAGAAAATTTAACAAGATTCCTTTGTACATGTATTCTTGTCAAATTTTTTTTATATAAAAATATCAATATGTTCTTTTGGATTGCTACATGATAGAATAGTTTCATTAGAGGTGGAATAGAGCATCTCTTGAATTAACTCTGTAAAAATCATCAGACTACAAGTACATGAATTTAGTTTACTCTTCTCCAGTGTTTTCCTCAAAATGTTTACCTAAATATTACAAACCAAAGAATAATGTTAAGATCCTCAAATATACTTTCAAATGTCAACTTAACATTCATAAAAGAGGACATTTACAGAAACTATTTTGATTTACTCAAGGTAAATAATTGCCAACCAAAACATTTTAAAATTAAAAAGCTAATGAATTCTCTAATGCCAGGCAACAATGAAATGTTTGATTCTTTATTTACATCTTTTACTTGAAAATGATCAAATAATTTAAAAATGTGACTTTATAGTATCTCATTCAAATATACTATTCCAAATAACTTTTTCAATAGAATTAATCATTGATCTACTTTTTGATATGTCAGTTTCATAAATTGTATTATAAACTCCTTATTGTCACCATAACAATGACAGATGTGAGTTGATGTTACTGTAATTATTAAATAATTATTTTGATTCTATTTTGTATTTTCTAATGGCTTTTTAAATTTATAAACAGTCTAAAATTCCTAGTTCTTCTTTCTTCTTTACTCAAATTATAGTTCATCATTGACTATAAACTAATATAATTCATCATTAACCTAACAATCTAGGTTTAGAATTTTTATTGAAAAGGAGAGACCATTAACAAATCAATGATAATCACAATGTAACAGCCAGTTAATAATATAGGGGAAATTATGGGATATTATTGATAATTTCATTAAGTGATACAAAATCTGGTTAACTTTTAAAATACATATTAACCTATATATGTAAATATTGAAAAATGGGAGTTCTACCTTAAAATTATCTATATTATCCCTAAATAAAATATTTTATCATCCCTGTGGTAGTTTGAATGCAATTGGCCCCCATAAGCTCATAGGGAGTGGCACGATTAGGAGCCTTTTTGGAGTAGGTGTATGGACTTGCTGGAGGAAGTATGTTACTGTGAGGGCTGGCTTTGAGATCTCATTTGTTCAAGCTATACTCAGTGTGACACACAGTTCACTTCCTGTTGTCTGAGAATCAAGATTTAGAACTCTCATTTCCTTCTCCAGCACCATGTCTGTCTGCATGCTGCTATTTCTCACCATGATGATAATGGACTAAATCTCTGCAGCTGTAAGCCACCAAGTTGCCATGGTCATTTTGTCTCTTCACAGCAGTAGAAACCCTAAGACAGAAGTTGGTACCAGGGACTGTGGTGTTGCTGTGATATGTCTGACCATATTTTTGCTTGAAAGAATTTGGACTTTGGTACTTTGGGTCAAGAAAGCAGGAGAATGGTTTAAGCACTGCTTAATGGACCATCCTAGCAGGAGCATGGAAGACAATGGTGCTGTGGGATGGTCTGTATGTCAAATTGTTCTGATTGGTCAATAAATAAAACAGATTGGCCAATGGTCAGGCAGGAAGTAGGTGGGACAGGGAGAGAGGAGAATTCTGGGAAGCGGAAGGCTGAGGCAGAGAGACACCGCCAGCTGGCGCCATGACCGCAGCATGTGAAGACGCCGGAAAGCCACCAGCCACATGGCAAGGAATAGATTTATGAAAATGGATTAATTTAAGCTATAAGAACAGTTAGCAAGAAGCCTGCCATGGCCATACAGTTTGTAAGC